CCCCCTTTATCTCTGTTAGTAATTGTTTTATGTACTTAGGTGCTTCTATATTGGGTGCATATATATTAACGAGTGTAATATCTTCATCTTGTTGTGACCATTTTAACAATATTGATTCTTCCAATCCAGGAGCATGGGATATCTTTCCATTTTTTAAAGTCTTCTTTAATTTCCTTCATCAGTGGTTTATAGTTTTCTGTATATAATTCTTTCATCTCCTTGGTTAGATTTATTCCTAGGTATTTTATTACTTTGGGTGCTATTTTAAAGAGGATTGTTTCTTTACTTTCTTTTTCTGTTGATTTATCATTAGTGTAAAGAAATTCAACTGATTTTTGAACGTTAGTCTTGAAACCTGCTACCTTGCTGAATTCTTCGATCAGCTCTAGTAGTTTTTGTGTGGACCTCTTAGGATTTTCTATATATAGTAACATATCATCAGCATACACTGACACTTTTAACTCTTCTTTTCCAATTTGGATCCCTTTTATTTCTCTCTCTTGCCTGATTGCTCTGGCTAGAACTTCCAAGACTATGTTGAATAGGAGTGGTGATAGTGGGCAGCCTTGTCTTGTCCCAGATTTTATGGGAAGCTTTTGAGTCTTTCACTGTTGAGTACTATGCTAGCTGTAGGTTTGTCATATATAGCTTTTATTATGTTGAGATATGTTCCCTCTGTACCCACTTTGGTGAGAGTTTTTATCATAAATGGGTGTTGAATTTTATCAAATGCTTTTTCTGCATCGATTGAGATGATCATGTGGTTTTTGTCCTTTCTCTTGTTGATGTGGTGTATTACATTGATTTGTGTATGTTGAACCACCCTTGTGTCCCTGGGATGAACCCCACTTGGTCATGTTGTATAATCTTTTTTATGCGCTGTTGTATTCTATTTGCTAATATTTTGTTGAGGATTTTGGCATCTATGTTCATCAGTGATATTGGCCTATAATTCTCTTTTTTGGTAGTGTCTTTGCCTGGTTTTGGTATCAGGCTGATGGTGGCTTCATAAAATGAGTTTGGGAGTATTCCCTCCTTTTCAATCGTCTGGAAGAGTTTGAGAAGGACTGGTATGAGTTCTTTGTATGTTTGGTAGAATTCCCCAGTGAAGTCTTCCGGTTCTGGACTTTAATTTGTAAGGAGGTTTTTTATTGCTAATTCAATTTCATTTCTAGTGATCGGTTTGTTCAAGTGGTCAGTTTCTTCTTGGTTCAGTCTTGGTGGACTGTATGTTTCCAGAAATTTGCTCATCTCCTCTAGGTTATCCATTTTGGTTCCATATAGTTCTTCATAATATTCTCGTATAATATTCTGTATTTCTATTTTGTTTGTTGTAATTTCTCCATTTTCCTTTCTTATTTTGCTGATTTGTGCTCTCTCTTTTTTCTTCTTTGTGAGTTTGGCCAGAGGTTTGTCGATTTTATTTACTTTTCCGAAAAAACCAGCTTTTGGTTTGATTGATTTTTTTTCTATGGTTTTTTAATCTCTGCTTTATTTATTTCCTCCCTGATCTTTATTATTTCCTTCCTTGTGCTGCCTTTAGGGGTTTTTTGCTCTTCTTTTTCTAATTCTTTTAAAAGCTGCTTGGTTAGATTGTTTATTTGAGATTGTTCTTCTTTTTTGAGGAAGGCCTGTATTGCTATAACCTTCCTCTTAGCAGTGCCTTTGCTGTGTCCCATGAATTTTGTGTGGTTGTGTTTTCATTTGTCTCAACGTATTTTTTAATTTCAACTTTAATTTCATCATTGACCCATTGGTTTTTTAATAGCATGTTGTTTAATCTCCGTGCTTTTCTTTTTTTCTCCTTTGTTTCTCTGTAGTTGATTTCTAGTTTCATGGCATTGTGGTCAGTAAAGATGCTTGAGAAAATTTCTGTCTTCTTAAAATTGTTGAGGCTTCTTTTGTGCCCAAGTACATGATCGATCCTAGAAAATGTTCCATGTGCACTTGAAGAGAATGTGTATCCTATTTGGGGGGGGGGGTGTAATGCTCTGAAAATATCCACCAAATCTAGTTTTTCTATTGTATTATTTAATTTTTCTGTTGCCTTATTTATTTTCTGTCTGGAAGATCTGTCTAGTGATGTTAATGCAGTGTTAAAACCTCCGACAATGATTGTATTCCCATCAATTTCCCCCTTTATCTCTGTTAGTAATTGTTTTATGTACTTAGGTGCTTCTATATTGGGTGCATATATATTAACGAGTGTAATATCCTCATCTTGTATTACTCCTTTAATAATTATAAAATGTCCTTCTTTATCTTTCTTTATGGCCTTTGTTTTAAAGTCTATTTTGTCTGAAATCAGTACTACTACACCTGCTTTTTTGGCGTTTCCATTTGCATGGAATATCCTTTTCCATCCTTTCACTCTCAATCTATATGTGTCCTTCTCCCTAAAGTGGGTCTCTTGTATGCAGCATATTGAAGGTTCTTGCTTTATTATCCAGTCTGCCACTCTACATCTTTTGACTGGAGGATTTAGCCCATTAACATTTACAGTAATTAATGATATATGTGTTTATTGCCTTTTTGAACTTACTTTTGCAGTTGCAAAATTTCTTCTTCTTATAAAAATTTCAGTCAGACTGGATTAGAGCCCACCATAAGGGCCTCATTTTAACTTAATGATCTCTTTAAAGGCCCTATCTCCAAAAACAGTCATTCTGACTTATTAAGAGTCACGGCTTCATTGAGTTTTAAGGGGACACAGTTCAGTCCACAACATACTTCAAACAACAAACTGTAAGTGTAATTGGGCAATGAGAGAGCTGCATTCAAATGCCATGGGGAAACAGGTGAAGACATAATCAATTCTGACAGGAAAAATCAGAAACTCTTATTCAGAGCAGGCATTATCTGGGCCCAGCTCTAGCCCCAGAATCTCTATAAAACGTCATACTTGATTATCATACAAATATTTTAGGTATGACAAAGTGGAAAAAGATAGCATTAGGTGATAAGACAGCCTTGAATAGAGGCCTAAAGGGGCAAGGATTTGTTCCAGAGGAACAAAGATAAATATTGTCTTCTTATGGTTAAACTGCAACTATGGATTCAAATACAACCAAACATGGAGGTCAGGTGAAGTTCCTGACTGCCTTATGGAATAATCTACTCCTTGCTCTCATTCCTAAGTCTTGAGGATTTTCATGTGTGTAGAGGGGATCTTAATGGTGGGAGGTTGTAAGGTCTTGATTAACCCTTACCTCTTTTGGCCTCTCTTCTATCCAGAAGCTGTTCCTTCTTCCCCTACCTCCAGCCTAGTTTTTCTCTAGGCCAGACTATAAACCTCAATGCCTTATCCATTTAAAATACTTCTCTCCTGAAGTGCCCTAGGATCCCTGAGTAAAAAAGGAAAAGAAATGGAGCTGCGCTGACCTAGGCAGCACAATGATGGGGGACGGTTTCTTTTGGCCTCTTCCCTTTCCAGTGCCTGGAAGTGACCTGTTTCCTTCTGACAGGGGTCGCTAGAGGCCACAGGGACCAACGCCAAGCTTCTGGGAGGAGGCTCCAGGAAGGCGCCCAAGAATGTGACTGCAAAGGTCAGTAATTCAACATCGACAACAGCGATGCACCATCAAGATCCCAACTCACTCCCTCGAGTCCGTCTGAGACCAGTGCAGATGTTACCTGATTTGACCTCACCCTTTCCCCTCTCCACCAGCCCACCACATGCAGCACCAACACTTATTTTCTTCCTGAGCCTCAGGCAAGAGCTGAGGCAAGGGCTCCAAGGTCCAGGGGAGAGCTGCCTGAATCTCTGGCTGCCCAAACCCCCTTTCCCTTTTTACCCCCAACAATCTAGGGCTGTCTTCCAAGTTCTTCCTGGATCCTCTTCTCAATCTTACTTGACTCACAGGTAAGAATGGAATCAGAGGATCAAAATGACTTGCTTGAAGTAAAGCAGCCACTAAAAGGCAGATACCTCGGTCTTCCTCCTCACTTTTGGGTCTCCCTAATGATACCCTCATGCCTCTTCCAGATCTGCCACCAAATTCTTGCCCATACAGGTCAGGAAAAACAACCTAGAAACCCTGGTGCTCATAGAACTGGATATGGTCACTGTTCTTGTTGACCCTTTGCCACACCCACTGCAGTATGAGAAACAACTGGGAGGCGAGGAAGATGCCAAGTGAAGCCTTGACCTCAAACATATTAACCCTCCTAAGCAGCAACCCCTTTATTTCAGATTGGTTCCTGAGAGCCTCTGAAAGAAAACTCATGACAGTGCCCCGGCTGCCAAAGAAGCCATGTCCCTGTGATCGTTTCAAGGGCAGGGTGAAGAAAACCAGTAAGTTGGAAAAGAATGACCTTCCTTAAACTTGGTCACTCTGTGGAATCAACTAGGGATGAAGCAGGTGTTGAAAAGAGACAAGAGAGATGAAATGGAGACCAGGATAAGCACACACCTCAGCCCTTTCTACTCAATGTCAGCTTGTAACAAAATAGGAAGAGCAAGAAGAGCATAATACAAGTTTCCTAATACTAGAAAGGCTTATGGAAATGCCTTCATTTACAAGGCTATTGTTTATCAAGGTGGAGGGAGATGGGGCTGCTGGAGACCTGGTCATTGATCTCTGACAATGACACCATTGTCAGTGTCAAACAGTATTTGATTCTTCCCTATTCTAGCCATTATTAAATATCATATAAAAAGAGATTAGCAAATGAAAAACTGATTGAAAGTATGATATTTTCAAGAATGGGATAAATCAAGATCTTTATATTACTGTTGATGGAAGTAAAATATAATTTTGTAGTACCTACCACAAACTTAAATGTTTCCCTTTTAACCATAATCTTGCTTCAAGAAATCTTTAGTATAGAATATGAGCATTGGTACTCAAAGGTATATGTACAAGAATATTAATTATAGCAGTATTTGTATTGACAAAAAAAAATAATGTTCATCATAAAAGACTCATTGTGTGATCATTTTGCAATATATGCAAATATCAAATCATTATGTTGTACCCCTGAAACTAATATGTTATATGTCAATCATACCTCAGTAAAATATATGTTCATCAAAAGAAAACTGGGCAATTCATAAGTTGTCAAAGATAATTGGGCAGATAATTATGTGTTAATTAGAAAGATATTCACCACATATTAAGTGAAAAAAAGATGCAGAGACCCCCTACTTCAAACTCATCACAAAGATAAATTTCAGGTGGATTAAAGATATAAATTTGAAGGACAAACTTAGAAGGAAATATAGGAGAATATATTCATCACCTTGGGGTAGAAAAGTATTTCTTAAACAAGTTACAAAAATATAAGTCATAGAGGAAAAGATTAATAAATCTGACTTCACTGAAATTAAGAAATTTGGTCAGTAAAAAAAAAAAGACAATCTACAAAGTAGGTGTAATGTCTGCAACGTGTATAATCGACAAAGGGTTAATACTCAGACTAGACAAGGAATTCCTATAGATCAATGAGAGGAAGGCAGGCAACATAATAGGCAAAAGCCTTGAATAGGCACTTCAGAGACAAAAAATAATCCAAATGGCTAATAAACGTGTGAAATGCTACTCAACCTTGCTAGTAACTGGAAAAATAGGAATTAAAGCCAAAAAGAGATCACTCTACATTATAAGATTGGCAACAATTTAAAAGTCTGACAATATCAAGTATTAGTAAAAGTAGAACAGAGAAAAATCTCACCTCCTGCTAATGGGAGTGTAAATTGGTAAATCACTTTAAAAAAGTGCTGGTAGTTATCTACTAAAGTTTAAGCTCTGTGACCAAGCAATTCCACTCTTAGAAGTATACTGAAAAGTAACACGTGTATATACTGCAGGAGACATGTACAAGAATTTGATGGCAGCACTGCTCATAACTACCCCAAAATGAAATTTGGAGAATGAATAAATAGTGGTATATTCAAATACTATATATTTGTGAAAATGAACAAACATGAAACAATGTATACAAATCTTACCAGCAAAATGTGGAGTTAAAAAAAAGACAAGAGAATGGTTGCAGCATGATTTCATATACATAAGAGTTTCAAAAAAAAAGGCAAAATTAAATTATTTAGGAGCGTATACCTAGAGCGTATAACTATAAAGGAAAAAAAAGTAAATGCCTACTGTAAAAGTCAGAATTACTTCTGTGAGGAGAGGGAAGATAATGATCAGAAAAGGAGGATGGTTGCTGACAATATTCATTTCTAGGCCTGAGTAGTAGTTTCATGAATAGCTTCATTGTAACTATTTATTGAACTGTACATGTAAATTTTTACAGGTTTCCACAGTTGCATGATATTGTACAATAATAAGAGATTTGTTAAAGTACAGAGACAACAAAATGAATAGTATAAACTCATTTTTGTTTCTTAGAGTAAACTATTATGTTTATATACAAATAGGTACAGAGGACTAAAGCAAACTATTAGCAATAGTTCTGTGGGGTGGGGAGTAGAGGCTGGGATGAGGGATGTCCTTTAACTTTTTACTGAATTTTTTTTATTTTAATTATTTCTACTGGATAAGTATACTTATAACATTTTAAAAACTCTCATAAAAATTAAATTTTAATAATGTGTTTAACATTAGCCTCTCCCTTTTCTTTTTACCCTAGAACACCAAAGACACCACAGGAGTCCAAACAAGCACTCCAGAGCCTGCCAGCAATTTCTCAGACGATGTCAGCTGGCAAGCTTTGCTCTGCCTTTATAGGAGCTCTGACAGCCCACCCTTCTGATGAAACATTCTCAGTCAACAAGACAGTGAGCACACCTAGAAGATGCTTTTCTCCCACCCCAAACTCCCCATCCCTGTCCCCACTCCCTATCATTCCAGTATTCTCAAAAAACAAAACAAAACAAAACATTTTCCCCAAGATTATTCATTCCTCTAGTGCTTTCTTCCCTTGACAGCCTTTTCCTGTGGCCTCTCCTTACCCAGGCTGATGCTTAATTACCTGAAAGAAGCCAGGAATCTCAGGGTTCTCAGCTGGACCCACCTGACCTTAAATACAACCAGGCAAATAGCAGACAGAAGTCAATAAATAATTTAAATATAATAGGTCAAAATCATTTCTTTCAATGGTGTCTGGAAACTTATATTTAATCCAGACGACTCACTTTAACCTGTTCATTCCAAACTCAACCTGATTCTATACACACCTCTCCCCAACATCATCCTCCCTCTCTTTCTACTGCCCAATGTGTTAATTCTCTCACTCACTCAACAAACCTTTCTGAGGGAAGAGTTATGTGCGGCAAAGAAGTTAAAGCAATGAGTCAGACAGTGTATTACTAGAGATAATATAGGTTTAAAAAAAAACTAGTAAAGTTTTCTAGCCTGTAAAATGCCTCCAGTATTCATCATCATCATCATCGTCATCGTCATCATTAATAGTCGTTGGACTCCATGAGTTTCCAGTCTCCTACAGAAGACATATATGCAAAGGCATAGTTCAAGGCTAGAAAGATGGTGTGGAAGATCTCAAATGCAACTGAAAAGAGCTTCAAGCTATAATAATAGGAGGATGTCTTTTTCTATAACATGAAAGTAAAATAAACAGTAGGATATATAAAGAAATTAAAGTGGTAACCATTTGAAAGAATGAATAAAGAGAGAAAAAATTACAACAGGGTAAATCCTGCTTCCCCCTCTGACCCTTTCCTCAAACATCAGAGGAGACTAGAAAAGGATCATTCCTCCAGAATCATCCCTTGTTTCATTAAGCTGAAACAAATGACTAACTTGGGATACTGGCCTTATTTGAAGAAACATTTTAACTGAGTAGTGAGTTGGGCCTACTCTGGTAGGAGACCACTGGGCACTCAGCCTCCTTTTGTTCCCAATCCCTCCTCCCACAGCAGGAGGCACAGAAGTATTTCACTTGGCACAGGAGTGGAGGACCAGCAATGGTTAGCCCAACTGCCAGTTGTCTTAAAAAGGAAGAGCAGTGATGCCAGGATGAAGAAGTGGAACCCAAAGGGAGGTGCCACCATAATCAATCAGTGAGGGATCTGTGACAAAGGAGCAAGAAGCCTGGGAGCTCAATGTCTCCTGTGAGCAAAATAATAACAGTGGAGCCAGGTTCTAAGACAGTATCTAGGCCTGACTGGGAACCACACCAGACACCTATCACCTGGCCAGAGTCTGGGCCAGAAAAGACACCCACAGCCTAGACAGCATCTGAGGCTCAGAAGGGACCCAATACATAACAGGAGCCTGCTTTACAGCAAGGACCCATCACTCAGCAGGAGCCCTTTGCCCAGCATGAAGCTGAAGCCCAGCAGGAAACTCAAGAACAACAAAAATTTACTTTGCATAAGGAATTTCTTGCCCCATAGGAGCCTGCTGCAGAGCAATCACCTCCTAACTAAAGGGTGCCCTTCAGGAAACAGGAAGCTGCCTCATAGCACACACCTAGTTCAGAAAAAGAATTTAGAACTCAACAGGAGCCAGAATTGAGAGAGGGACCTGTATACAGAGAAGCTAGGGCCTGGCCCAGTAAAGCCACCTCTAGCTCAACAAGAAGCTA